CTCTCGATGCTCAAGGACTTGAGTCAGAGAATGAATAGTATTCAAGAATCCAACCGACACCCTCACTTCTCGGATGACTCTTCCGAGGGTGAATACGACGGTGAGAATGAAGATCCATTACCTTGGGACATTGGTCAATCCACCCAAGATCAAGAGGCAGCCCGGGCCACCATGGATTTCGAACAGTCACTAGCTCCTCAGGTAAATGAGTGTGAACCTCTCATCCCCGCACCCGATCCGGAGATAAGAACCCAAGGGGTCAGGTGCCAAAAGCTTGGCTCCTCAGCTTGGAACAACATTAAATACAAAGACGTGCAGAAAAAATAAGCCTCGCCGGTCTTCGATAGTCTCAAGGTGAACAGTCAGCTGGGCTTTATCGCCCCGAAAAGCATCGGTTCCCTGTCACTAGCCAAGGCTGATGCGATGGCAGGAATTTTTTCCCATGGCCTTTTACTGCAGAGACAGAGGCTGACATCAGCAGTCAAGTCTTTGGCTTCAAAGCATCCTCAGATAAGGGAGGACATTAAAGAGGCCTTTTTCGAGGGAGTCTCCTCAGTGAAGTCGATCTCGGGTGATTTACTTCATTTTGCTTGTGCTCGCAGAGCCGAGATTATCGAGATGAGAAGAGGATACTTCAAACCAAGAAATCCACACCAAGCACTAAAGCTCTCGGAGATTCCGCCCTCAGAATCACATTTATTTGACGAGAAGCAGTTGGCCGAGTTCTTGGAGCAGCAAGGGGGAGTGCAAAAAGTGTTGTATCAGGGGAAAAGATCCTTTCGCCTCCCTGATCCCAGGGAATTCCAAGAAAAATCTCAGACTACTACGAAGGACACTCGACCGAGAGAACCAAGGCACCACCTCAGAATTCAGCCCTCCACATTTCGGTCTCGTAGGCCACCTTTCTCAGCCAAAGACTTGAGGTTTGACAGGAGACCAAGAGGTCAGCCAGTGCGAAGAGAGTCTTCAAGGGGCAGACTCCGAGCTCCCCGCCGAGCTTGACTATCGGTTCAGGGGAGGTCTGCTAAATCGTTTCATTCCACAGTGGGAGAAGTGGGGGGCTACAAAGTACATCATCAACGTCTTGAAAGGTTACTGCATTCCGTTCGTCAGGGCGCCTCCATCGATCCCTTTCTCCGTTCTAAATATCTCAAAATTTGCGACAAGAGAATCACCACAAATGACGAAGGAGATAGAGTCGATGCTACTCCAGGGTATAATCGAGAAGGCAACCTGGAAGACGGGTTTTATTTCTCCAATGTTCTTGATCCCAAAGCCAGGGGGAAGTTTCGTCAGATTTTCAACCTCCAGTGCTTAAACGACTACTTTCTCCCTCCGACATTTCATCTAATAAATCAGCGAAAAGTACCCTCATTTCTCCAAAGAAACGACTTTTGTCAAAGGTAGACCTCTCTCAAGCCTATCTCCACATCCCCATCCAGACAAGACACCGCAGATACCTTTGCCTCTCATACAAAGGTCAACTGTTCAATATAACTTGCCTCTCCTTCGGCCTATCGACAGCCCCCTCGGCTTTCGCCAGTATAAGCAACTGGTTGGCGGGTGTTCTTCGGCAACAAGGGATCAGGGTCCTGGTCTATCTCGACGACTTCCTCCTCGCCCACCAAGATGCCGAGATTCTGCGGTTACACGTTCAGTTCACGTTGGACTTTCTGCGCTCCTTGGGCTGGGTGATAAACTTGGAGAAATCCATCATCTCCCCTTCGCACAGAATCGAATTCCTGGGCATTCTGTGGGACACAAAATTGAACGAGATATCTCTCCCAGAGGACAAGAAGATCCGGATCCTTCGTTTGATAGGAAGATTGCTCGACTCAGGAGTGTGGAGCTGGAAATTAGGAAGCTCCCTCCTAGGAATGCTCAATTTCGCTGCTTACGTCATACCTCTGGGGAGGCTCTTTTCGCGTCATCTCCAGCGAGGTTGTCGGCGCCTATCGAAAACCTCCCCACACAAGAAGTTCCCTCTACTACACTTAAGCAGTCTGGACTGCGCGTGGTGGAGGTCGAACATTCATCAGACGAGCCTCATTTTCCAACCGGAGCCCGACATCTTTCTGACAACCGACGTTTCACAGTCAGGTTGGGGGTTCCATCTGGACCATTGTCATCGGGCGGGAGTTTGGACTCCGGAACAGGAGGACTGCAGCATCAACAGGAAGGAACTCTTCACGGTACTCGTAGCAATCCAGACCTTCAAGGAATCTTTAAGGGGGAGAGCGGTTATGTTGCAGTCAGACAACAAAACGACTGTGGCATACATCAGGAATCAGGGGGGGACACGATCTCAAACGCTCCTAAACCTAGTCAGAGACCTCCTGATCCTTCTGAACCAATACGAGATTCACTTGGTCCCGTTCTTTCTCCCAGGAGTCTTCAACACGATTGCGGACAGGTTTTCCAGAGCCCTACCTCTCCCAGATTGGCACTTGAGTGCCGAATTGCTTCAGAAAATATTCAGGAAGTGGGGAACTCCCCAGATCGATCTTTTCGCAACGGCCAGATCCAAGGTAGTCCCCAACTACGTGACTCTGGAGGCAAACGACGAGAAAGCCTTATTTATAAACGCCTTCAGCAGGCCTTGGGAGGTGACGTTAGCCTGGGCTTTTCCACCTCCCCCGTTAGTTCCCAAGGTGCTACAGCATCTAAACTCAGCAAAGGGGATTTTTCTTCTGGTCGCCCCGAGATGGGAGAAGACCTTTTGGAGGGGCGTGTTGAAAAAGAGGAGTCTAGCGCCACCGTTTCAGTTACTAGACCTCGAGAAACATCTGACAGATCTAACAACGGGACGTCCTCCTCAAAAAGTCGAGGAACTAATTTTAGAGGTCTGGAAGGTACGGGGTGGGGCCAGTTCATAGGCGGTCTTTCTGACTCGGAGGTGAACCTCCTGGGCTCCGCCTGGAGGGATTCCTCCTGGAGGACCTACTCGTCAGTGTGGAATCAGTGGCTCGCCTGGTGTAGGTCAGAGGGTGTCTCTTCGGACAAACCTAGTGCACAGGAATTAGTGAGGTATCTGAGCTTCTTATTTTACAAAAAGAAACTGGCTCACACCACCATCCTGAGCCACAAATCCATTATCTGCACCCTCAACAGTCCAGATGGAGGCCCCAGCCTAAGTGCTCACCCCATGATACAATCAGCACTGAAGGCCATAGGAATACGGAGAGCGAAAGAGTTGAAACCTGTTAAGATGGCTATCTGGAACATAGAAACCATGGTGGAATGGCTGGAGGAGAACTTCCCAGACATCGAGAGTCTCTACGAGGTCTCTCGTTATACGGCACTTCAATTATTGCTAGCTTCAGGGAGAAGGATCCATGATTTAACTCTTCTATCACTGAGCTCAGACTTCTGCACCATGGAAGAAGACGAGATTATTCTGTGGCCTGAATTTGGGTCTAAAACGGACTCGGTCGGTCATCACCAGTCGGGCTGGAGGATCATGAAATCCCCAGACCCCAGGTTCAACATGGTAGCCTGGATTAAGCTTCTTATTCGTCTCTCGGCCGAGAGGCGTAAAGCACGTGAGAATCTCACCCGCTTATTCATCACAACTAGAGGAACGGTGGACGCGGCATCGCGCACCGTTATAGCAGGATGGATGAGAAACATTTTTAAGGAGGCTGGAATTCTGGATAGCCCAGGCTCAATTAGATCCGCAGTGGCCTCTCACAATTACCGAGGAGGAATGGATTTAGATGAGCTTCTGAAGCGAGGCAACTGGAAGGGATCCAGTAATTTCTTCAAGCACTATTGTAAGGAGGTGATGAAGCCTAAGATCACTAGTTCAAGAGTTTCCTTAATAGAAAACTTTACCCCAGTATGTTGAGGGGATTATAATCGTTAACCTTTTGCATGTGTCATGTTTTTTTGGATCAAATAAATGATTTTTCTCCAAAATTTTGGAGTCACAGTACGCGTTCAAGTGCCGGCAGAATATAAACATCTCTCCGAAGGGTCAAGCCGAAGGCACAGACATAAAATAGAATCGTTTTCCACCCCGAAGGGAAGAAAACGTATATTTTAGGTCTTGCCGAGACTTGACCCGAGTAAGGCCTTGCCGTCACTGGGGGCAGGTGGAATAGTTCCCCGATTCCACTACATTCGGAGCAATACTGAGGATTCACTGCGTTATCCGCCTAGCCGCACTTGAAACCGAGAACAAGGTACCTTTTCCCCCCTACAGATGGCTATGAAGGTAGGTTTATGGTTCGTTGAGCACTCACACATGTTAGGATTACACAAGGTAATCTCCGAAGGATCAAGCCTCGGCAAGACCTAAAATATACGTTTTCTTCCCTTCGGGGTGGAAAACGATTCTAATAACTTACGGTCTACGTGTATTATCTTTCGAACGTAACCTCGGTTTTTCTTATTTTCATGATCTGAAGTGTTCTCCAATTGGCATTCAGTTTTACATAGGCCTGGAGTTTCCCAAAATTATGATTGAATGGACAAAAGAACTGAACATTTTCAAAAGACGTTTTTAGATAATATTGCGAAATGACTGACATGTGTTGCTCCAAATCCTTGGGTTGTTGTTGGGATTTTTGCAATTTTTAATTAATTAATATGTTACGGATACTCGAGACAGAGTTTATTAGAGTTTATTGCGACTGGCAATAAAATAGTATTGTTCAAACTCTTCCATCATCCCATTAAGAAATTGCAAATTAATAATTTAATGTATCTAACGGCTGTTAGATCGTCGTTTGTCACAATAGCCAATGGCTGTCAGTTAGTTCCCATGCTCAATTATTGGTTTACAATTTTCTCTCTATCGAACTTATTTTCTAATCTTTATTAAAAACGCTCGTTGAAAAGGTTCAGTTTTCTTTCAACGTTTCTTTGATTGTACAATCATTGTAGGGCCCGCGTGATGGAAATCCAATAGAAATTGTTTTTTTTTTCGTTATTTTACATCGCTTCGACCCGGTTAGGGTATACTGCGATGATGATCAAGATTTTAAATGGTTAGATCGCACCATTCTGCCCGGCCGGGATTTGAACTCGGAACCTTTCGCATGTGAAGCAACGAACTTACCCACTGCGCCAAGTCACCGGGAATGGAAACTGTGATATATTTTAGATTATGAAAATGGAAAAACTATCGAGATAATATTCGTAGACGTTTTACAAGTTCTCATTAAATTTATAAACATTGTATTAGTTTTTAAAAAGGACAAAAGTTCCATATGAAAAATATTTCACTGCTTTGAGCATCTTTTCTACAATAAATATGTCAATTTAGAGATGTAACGGGCGAACCTAACCAGACAATTTACCGTCATTTTAAATGTAAATTACACGTCACTGACGGAAAGCCAATTACTGACCATTTGTGGTAAAAAAAAAGTAACGGACTTTCGTGTCACAAAAATAACAAAAAAAATCTTGACGGTCACTTTACATCTAGATAGAGCCAGTCGATTCGCGAAATTCATCATGTTGCCGTGTTACTTCGAAATTCGACCCGCAGAACTCTTCAAATTCTAGTAAGACGATTTTTCAACATAAATGACAACGAGAAAAAAATACGGACGATTGGGTAAGTTGACCGGTCAGTTTGCATCACGAGGTATGCGTCAAGTCAGAAATGGTCAGAAAACCGTAAATTTACGACTGACTTGACGCATGTCCAAAATTTACCGTCATTTTGCGTCCCTATGTCGATGAATTCTATCACTGGCGTGTTCGAACCCTGGTCGGTTCACCCTACCTGAAAAATTGAGTACACAATTTCTTCTAGAAGATGAACCGGCAACGTGGCCAATGATTTTTCAATCAGTAATGCTCAGTTTGCATGAATGAAATCTATAGACAACATATTGAAATGTTTAGTTTAAATGGCCCGTGAAAACTCACAGTTGTCTGCCCTTATGTTGATCTTGAAGAATAGAAACTATGGTATAAGTGAGTGTTTTATCATTTCTTTATCACTATTTCTCATCCCGAGGGATTGAAACTAATCTTAAACGTGATTAGCAGTTTTATTGCAATTTTTTGGCGATAATTAATCATTCAACTCTGTAAAAATTGAATAGAATAGACGGAACAATTGAAATTCGTCGAAATAAACCATCTTTCATTCATAATTTCAAGTTTGAATGATCAATGTTACCAAACCCATTCGATGCTTCATGAATAAACACACAACACGTCTACGTTTCATTACGTCAGTGGCCAACATAACAGTAGTTATAACTATGTACATTTTCTCTCAACGACGAAAAATAATGAATGTGATAATGCGTAATAAACTGTTGACTCCCAATACATTTTGCATTTGTATAAAAATTTACCCACTATTTTCAACAAAACACACAGAGGCAAATCCTCTACCACAATGTTTCAGGTGAGTTAATATCAATCCATTAACCGATGTATCTACAACGCACCATGGTATGTATAATTTTATGATTTATATTTACAAAAATATTCTCTCTCATCGGATTTCAGCGTTGCCGTTGCTTCGAGCTCATTTCTGAGGTGAAATCCCGGCGATTTATCTCTGAATCTGTTTGCAAAATGACGTTATGAAGTCTAGTCAGGTCTGTATATGGGAATTTTCGGAATAAATTCGATTAGAAGTACCTGAAAGTCATAAATTCATATTAGGATAATGTTTTTTCAATGACTTCGAAATGAGTAGAATAATTGATTGTCTTTTTTTGCGTCTAAAAAATTGCTCGGTAAAAAAACTCGACATTTTCCCCTCAGTCATTATTTATGTAATTCTGTAATTAACGAGACGTGAGGTATCGACTCGTTATGTTTTATCGCTTGACTACTACATCTTAATTAATGATTTGAGCTCTCAAGTGAGTAAATCGTGGAAAATGAGAAACTCCCTACCTTTAACGAAAAATTTCATGAATTAATGAACGAATGCTCCCCAAACAGATGGAAAATTCCACCAACTTTAACTTATACCACTCAAATATTGCCAGAAACGTTAATTAGAGTTTGTTCAAAGTTTACTTGAAGCTGAATGAATTTTTAAAATTCTCCCTCGAACTAACCGAAAAAACCCCAAAATTTTTCCTCTTTGAGTGAGAGAATGAATCACGGTAAAGGTCAACCTGTAATTCACTCGCGCATAATTCCCGCTTGAAAAATTTCTTTATCCAGTTTCATTGAAATATAATTGAAAGGCTTCACTTACGTATTCCATCATTGAAGAACTATCACACCTCTGCTTCGTCAATCTCCAATGTAATCCCAGTTTATGGTAAAGTCGGCTATTCTCCCACTCGAGTAATTTATTCAATGAATGCTGTGTCTGAAAATGAATCATAATGAAATTATTTAGATGATCTCGCCATTATCTTTGGAACGACGGGGTTCCGGAAATTTATTCGAGACTTTTTTTTCTACGCAATTGAGAGATATGCAAGAAAAATATTTTTTCAAGAGTTCTCGTAAATCCATTCAGTCCCGAATTGTCCTCGAACTAATCTATTGGTGATATTTCCACTCATCTTTTGATTTTCAAATGATTTCTGTGATAAGTGAAGTGAAAAAAAAACCTTTTACACCTTGGGATTGTTTAATTGATGGGTCTTTCTGTTCTAAAATTAATCTACTCATATTTCTAGTGTTTTTTAATAAGTCTCTGAGCTTCATCATTCCCTCCAAATCGTCTATGGGTACACCTTTTGAGCTCTCAATCTACGAATACATCAGGGTGATTTACCACTACACTCCCATTGCTAATTTCACCTTGCTTTAAAAACGCAACAGCGTGATGTTACATCTTTATTATATCCTCTCCTGAGCAGATTTCGCCCCGTTGGATTGGGATTTTTACGGCTCAACTCGGGAAAAAATTTACTCGCTTAACTCACTTAACACTTAGAGAAACTTCAAAAATGTGAAAAAATTCTATCTCTAAAAAGCTTTGTTTCTTTTCTATTGAACTTATTAGAAAAAATTTAATGATGTTTTGACTTCATGCTCCAGATGTACGAATGGATGATATGAATTTCTCAATGGAATAAAGTAATGTAATTTCAAAAACGCCAACAATTGACATGAAAATCTTTATCCTAATACTTCTACGGATATGAAAATCGAGAGAAAATCCAGTGGGGTGATGAGTAACCCTAACGTATCCGTACAGGGATAAATATATAGATCATAAATCCTATGTTATTGAAAGTATATCACATCATGCCTGGACTGAATTAATGTTGAAGTAATGACCAATTAAGCTAGGATTTTATCTCTCTCGAATTTCCTCAATTTAAGAACCCACTGGTTCTTAATGGAGGTCAATAATTTTTAGCTTTAAAACCCAACAGTTCTGCATTTGAGGACTTTCTAACTTAAAATAAGAAGGATTATGATACTGAATTTTAGACATGTTTCTGGTGAAATTAAGTAACGTGTTTCTTATTCGTTGATACCCATTTTGATTTATAATTTTCTGTACTTTTCGAAACAAATAACAAATAAAAAATATCATTTCCTATGGTGGAATACCAAAATAGCTTATTCGGAAAATTGCAAATTCAATGTTTAACTATTAAATGAGACCAGCTATTTCCCCGAAAATTCGAAATTTTTTATACAAAAAAAATTATTTTTCAATTTTTGTCCCAGCAGACATTACGCATGTAAAATTTAGTTGAACATAAACTGTAGAAGAGAATCGATTGCGCATATCTCCCTTCCACAATGAGTATAAGGGTCTAAAAAATTTTGGACAAACTTCCTTCCTATACCAGTAAAAAGCAGAGGAATTTGAGGAATAATTGAATTTTTGAAGCCGAATAATCAGTCGATAATTGGTCAGATGTGCCATATAGTTTCTACGACAATGTCCTGTGATACTTCTCGGAGGAAATGTCAAAGGTACCTTTTACCGAAAACTGAGTTTCCTACAACAATAAAAACCATTAAAACTGAGTTTCCTCTCCATACTCATAAAATAATTTGACCCTTGTTAACACGTATGAAAAAATTCAATAACAAAACTTGGCGAATTCACTACAAAATTCTATTGGAATTCAAGTAGAATCCTAGGGAATTCTCGTTGAAATTCTATAAGATATCAGATAGGAAAAAGTCAATAGATTTTGATTTTCCTGTATGACTATTCTCATGGAATTTTTTCTATAATACTTGGGCATATATTTTCCATTTTTTTTTACTCTGATGCTGTAATGCAAAACAAAACAAAATATAGCGGAAAAAGCTTAGAAAATCCGTACCCAATAATTTTAATAGAAAAAATGTTTAATAGAAAAAAAGAGAAGAATTTAAACCGAAAAATCTAAATCTATTGACTTTTTTCTATCGAATTCACTAAGAAATCGAATCCTATCGAATTTTTTCATACGTGAATCCTTTTCCCTTGACCATTAACATCCCTCGAAATGAAATTAACAACCCCTAAATAATCATCTCCACTCACTCTTTTACTCAAACAGACGACTGGCCACAATGAGCACCCCAAAGTGCAGCAGCAACAAACGCAGCCACAGAAAAGCCATTTAACATTCACAGGTAATGTTTTCTTCAGTACACTATTAACCCGCATGACCGTGGCTTTAAATTCCTCAGGGGCAACTCTTGAAACCAGACCATTTGGAAATTCAGCCTCGAATCGGTTGCTCAGTCCAAACCTACGAATAAATTAAAACATTCAGCTTCACCACAACAATAAAAACCATTAAAACTTCTTCGCAACTCTAAACCCCCATTCTCCATAAAATATCAACTGTAAAAATGAATTGAGTCGTCCCAGTCACGTCCCACTGCGCTCGAGCTCATGAATGAAAGATAAAAATAATCGCAAACATCACATATCACGAATAAAACTCTCTCAACCCTCAAAAGAACGAGAACATTTCAGTCTTTCATTCTTTCCTCTCCAGTCTCCTTTGTGACGTTAAGGGTATTGGCAGGGTCAGGGACCTTGAAATCATACGGAGTTACAGCGTCAGGGGACTGAGATGAGAACAAAAAGAAAACAACAAAGGAGAAATTTAAAAAACGTACACTGTCATATTACCAGCCCCACGAACTACAATTGGATCTGGCACAATTGTCACATAATGATCCTCCGAATTTTGTTCATTCTCCTCTTCCTCCTCATAAATAGCATCAAAATCTGCCATCTCTGCTCAAACCTCACGATTTTCCACTGTTTTCATAAATCCTAGTCACTTCACTCGCGAAAAAACAATACAAAATAACAATATCCAGGTTATTTTAGATATATTTACTCCTGATAATCAATAACCAATGAAATTATAAAAAAATCCTCTTGTAAATCTATTCACAATTTTTGAGTTATTTTTATGGATATGCGAGGATACATCGAGCCTCTTCCAAGTGTACAGTAGGACTGGCCAGGACTGGCGAGATTGTTCCACCAGAAATTGTAGGTTATACATTGAACTCCCATTCCCCCACTAGTCATCGCAGTGGACTCTGCTCTCACCAGTCCTACAGTAGTTATATATATAGTGGTAATTCAACTGGCGTCGCCACGAGTATTTGCGCATGCTCGTATCAAATTTAAGAAGGAGGAGTGGGGATTGTTGAGTTCAGTGTTAAGTCACTACTAGTAGGTAACAGCGATTAACAGAGAATTTTCATTCGGTAGATGCTAAAGTAGATTTTGACATTTGTCATTTCTGTAAAGTTCAACTGTTTAGTTACGTTGTCATCTCATCCTTTTATGTGTTAAATAATGGCTTTCATTCATCAGAATATATTAATAAAGGACATTTATTCAAAACTGGTAATTATTGAGCACTTCTTGTTACCATATATCTAAAATTACTTATTATTCATTAATGATTTTTACAGGAAATCAAGTCTTAAATAAAACGATGGAGAAAAATCCTCCTGACTTATCCGACTCAGATGAAACGCTCTTCGAGCTCCCACATATAGTTATCGACTCTAAGTGTATGTTGTTTTTAGAATAGGAAATGTTTAATTACCTATTAGAGAGATTTGCACTCATTTGATCGCAGACTGTTGCAGAGACGTGGAAACCTGCTGCAGCATGCTTCTACCTTCAATACGAGGATTTCAATACATCGAATTAAATTATCTCCGAGTCATGCTGTCATAAAAGCCATAATAAATAGGGAGTTTCCATCCACTATTGATTCCTCTGAGGATAAAAACAATTGCATGATCGGCAAAGCGAGTTCCCCCTTTAAATCCCCAGTCCTCAAATTCAACAATTTTATTTTGCATTGATCATATTGAATTTGGAGCATTAATTTAACTTTGTCCCACATTACCAAGCAATATTTTTCCTTTTTTGGCATCTGATTACCCATCAATTTTAGTTTCTTGAAAACTATGTCTGTTGGCCCAGTGGGACATTTGACTTGTTGAAAAACTTTGGTGACTGCGGTGCGTTGAAAAATGAAATTGACTGAGAGCATTCGATAACTATAGGGTGATTGCTTGTAGAATCCGACTGCTATAATTTTTTTTGACCGGCTGCATCTCCTCCCCTAGTAGAATGATAGAAAACCCACGAGATAATTCTCAATATATCAATCAGACATTTACACAATCATACAGAGTACATTATCATACATTTGTACAATTATGCAGAAAAAGAACAGATAACGACATGATATTGTCCTCATAAAGTGCAATGCACAAAAATACCACATAAGTCACCTGAACAATGATGTTAGGATTTATCAATATCTCTAGTAGTGCCATGATCAAATACAGAAGTCAAAAGCGGCAAAGTGGTGAATAGATCATTTGGGTCAGACGTAAAATCGTTGTTGACTGTGCATTTACATAGAGACTGAGCGATTGTGGAGGAAATATGAAGAAACTTTCATTTTAAGTTGAAGGAATTTTCCATTGAAAACATTTCATGAAATTCCTCATTAGCGAAATAATTTAATGAGAATTTAGATGTGGTGCCTAATCAAACTCTTAAGTGCCTGAAAAATTTACAAAAAAAAATTGTAGTAAATTCGCTGCACCAGATTCATACGTGAAGACTCTTGATCCGCCGAGTCCTGAGATGAAGTGATGAAACATATACGCGAAAATGAATAAGTATGATCAATCAAAAATTTCTGCAAGCCGTAGTGTCTTTGGCATGCAGTCGGTCAAGCTATTAAGTCCAAAAAGCTATATTCACAAATTATCTACATATTCGCCTTACCACCTGATAGGTCAAGTGTTATTTTGTCTCGTTCTATCTCGTTTCACTCAGGCTAAATGTAAATAACGAATAATATTCTTATATATGTTATTATGAAGGCAGTGCAATTCCAAGACCTATAAAACAAGTAACAACATATGTTGCATAGAGTAAAAATCAAAACTTTTGAATGGAAATTTTACTTTTGGTTTCACACCGATTTTATTTAGTTGCATGCCCATTATGATCTTTTGGGAGAGATCGCTTCCAATTCTTAAAACCGTTAATTTTGATGCCTTTCTTCAATGTAGCTAATCTTTTAGAACTCCTGCAGTAGTTTTGTTGCATCTGTCTCATTTTTCTCTTTTCTTTCACAAGTTGGTGCAGTTAACATGTCAATTTTCTCATTTCCAGATAACAATCTCTCCTCAACCTCGCTCTGCACCACTCTGCACCCTAGCTTCAGCAGAATCCTCACTGGATGCATGGAATTGAACCCTGATTTGTGGAGAATAGAAATTGCCAACACTTTCACTGTCATTTTCCCAGGCGGCCATGGTCTCTTGGAGTGGATCTCTTCTCAGTGGTGGTTCACTTAATTCACTTGTAGAGCTTCTTCCATGTTTTCGGAAACATCAATTGCAGGAGTTGGATTCATATTCACAGTGGGAACCGTGTTTGTTATTAAATACCGTCGTTTTGAAGTTGAGAAGTAATCTGTTTCCAAGAAATGTTCTTCACAAGCTAGACACTTGTTGACTTCAGCTTCTGTAGCATTCTACAAAGGCAATCCTATTGCTGCTTTTCATTGAACTCTGACCCACTGAGCTTTCGGAATTTTATGTTTCGCAGTAGTGAAGGCTGAATGACATTCTCTCACGAAACATGTAGCTGATCGTATGCGGGGAGCCATGTTGATCTCTAATAATTCACTGATCAAAAATTAGTACATTAGAGTACAAGGGCACAAATTTCGTTTTCAACGAATGTGTAGTTTACAGGCCGAGCCGAAGGCGACACACATTCGTTGAAAACGAAATTTATTACCGAGTGCTCTATAATATTTTATGTCAAGTCGTGCAGAAGTCGAGTTATGAGCAAGCTGCGCGAAGCGCAGCGTGCGATAAACTCGACTTATTGCACGGCGCAACATAAAATACATAATAATATAATAAGCAATAATTCACTTCACGTTCATTTCCGAATGTGCAAAAAAAATCTGATGAGCAGTTCAAAATCGGCCGCTTCGAGTATAATACTGACGTATCATCTTCTAAAAAGGAAAAAGCCTGTTAATTACAATTACCTATGGATAAACTTAACAATCCCCACTCCTCGATTTGGTCTCATTTTTCGATTTCCTCACATTTGGTATATATGCGCGTGCGCAGATGCTCGCGGCGCATCAGTTGAATTAAATTGCAATAGAACTGAGGAGTTTGTGCCCCTCCCAAGGAGGGGTGTGGAACAAAATCCCCAAAGGACAAAATCCCAAAAGATGATTCTACAAAGTTTCCATCTGGCGGTGAAACACAGTAGCTAAAATTATCTTATTTGTTAGATGGCGCAAGTGATACTGAATTTCTGAGTACGATAAAATTGCATTCATCACACGGTCCAAAATTATTTTCTGACGAATGCGGCTTTGTAGGCCGAGCCGAAGGCGAGGCCTATAATCACATTCGTCAGAAAATACTTTGTGGACCTTGTGATGAAAATAACTATTTGTAAGTGGGTGCACCCAGTAAATGTCCAATTTCGCATGAACGAGTCGAATGATCTATTATCCTCCGTTCTGTTTACGCTAGCCTTACGCTGCGACTTTTATCGTACTCAGAAATTCAGTATCACTTGCGCCATCTAACAAACAAGATAATTTTAGCTTCTGTGTTTCACCGCAAGATGGAACCTTTGTAGAATCATCTTTTTGAAGTTTGTCCTTTTGGGATTTTGTCCCACACAGCTCAGTGTTAACCCCACTTTGCTCAATCCCCACTCCACCCCACTCACACCCTTGCCGCCGCCTCGGGAAACCAAAAGCATAATTTCCTCAGTCTGACCATACCACTAACTACACTTGGAAGATACACAAAAACATGGGGAGAGGAATGCCCTTGGCTCATAAGGTGCTTCTTGCCAAAGGAGTAACTTCGGTCGTATACCCCCACTCTATCCAAATCTCCACTTAGGCTCGTGCTCCCACCACTCCGATCGAGGTTACTTCTTTGGCAGAATTCAGCAGTGTACCTCGCCAGAATCATACGTTTTCAGGGTCATACCTCGTAAGCATCAGACCATGTAAAGGATGAATTTTACAAGGGTCAATCCCATTATTTATTAATCTCTATTGAATCGTGTCATCATCTTTTGTCTTGACATTAACTTGTTTCATTCAGCATTCTTAAATGACAAAACTAATTCAATTGTCTTTGGTAGCTTTTTTGAACTCTTCAAAAGAAAATAGTTCTTTATGCCACTCATGCCTGAAACCGGCTGAATTAAACACGAGACGCGAAGCGTCGGGTGTGTAATCCAGCCGGTTTCAGGCTTCGTGACATAAAATTTTGTTCAGTACTTGTTGGGAAATTTCGTCCTTAACGTGTGTGGTTACATCACTCGCCTTCGGCTCATGCTGTAAACCCCACACACGTTAAAGACGATATTGCCCCACATGTGCTGAAATATACTATTTCATCACGCTGTGCGAAAAAGTAACTTTTTAGGCACGCTCCGCGTGCAAAAAACTCTTTTCCGCACTCGTAACGAAATATACTATTTCAGGTCCAATTCAATAAAGCTCAATAAATAATAAGATTGACATTCTCACAATGGAGATAACTTGTGACTTTGGTCTTTTGCAACGTTTGATTCTCGTGAAATTTACTCTTTGTGAGGTATGAGGCTCATATTTCTGAGTTTCTTAAAATGCCGTAAATCGTATCCCGTGATGTAATAATACTTTATGTCACCAGGCGATGGAAATATTTTCTGACTAATGTGGCTTTATAATCCGAGCCGAAGGCGAGAATGTTAATCACATGAGTCAGAAACCTGTTTTATCGCTGTGTGACATCCAATATTTTATGTCTCTGGACCCGGAAACCGCGATTTAACCCTCCTGAACTGGCTAGATCTCTTACGTCTCACTTGCACTGCAGTGGCACCCTATAGGTTGAGTAGTTGGCGGCGGCGCGCCGCTCTACACGCCAGTTCAGGAGGGTTAACCGAGGGATTCGATGTTAGAATCGCGGTTTTACGATCCCAGGGACAAAATAATATTTTATGCCCCAAGTACCGAGATCCGCATTCCAACCGAACAAAGTGAAGTTAAAATTCATGGTTTATCTGTCTTCGGGACATAACATACTATTTTTTATGATATTTATGTGTCCAATACTGCGTCTTCGTCAGTCGGAATAAAATAAAACATTCTAGTAACCGAAAGCTGCAAACTTTTCGAAGTAATGTAAAAAATGTAAAAAACCTGTCGAGGTAATTTACGTAAATTACACCGTTTTTTACCGACGTAATTTACGTAAATTAACCCAACCCAATTAGCCCAACCCTGCTAATTATCTCATTTTTGAACAAATATAGAAAAACCATTATCAAATACGTCATTGTCAATTGTCACTTATTTTACTAAATGAACAAAAAATCGAGAAAGACTACAAAGTTGTTTTCGGTTGCTGAGAAACGTGACTCGCTTACTGCTACAGTAAGCTTTGCAAGAAAAAAGCTATTAACTTTGTTCCGTGGAGTCTAATGAACATTAAAAAAATTACTTCAATTGGATGAAAACTGTGGTGCAAGGATGATTTTAAAGATAGAAACTGGGAAAAAATCGATTGGGTTCATAATTTTTCTCCCTTTCTAACATATCCCATCACATATCAAAAATTGGATCCCTAGACTGAGAGAAAAAGGACCAAGTTCATAAACAAGTCTTGTTTGAGCCAACAAAATCGTTAGTTGAAAATTACCAAAAAAATTATTGTTTAGTTCGAATTTGAAAGTCTCAAACATGAATGATTGCTCTGCTTTCAACAACAACGAAATATTTGACTCAAAAAGCGGATTATATTGTATAGAGGGAAGTTTTTCAAGAAATATTTTATCCCTAAGTTACAAGATTGCTGTCATATCATTATTATTATGTCATTTAAGAATTCATTTTTTGTCTATGATTATCGAATAGCAGAAACGACAACTACTATCGCTCGTTTCATATAAAATGAGCATTTGCCGGGAGCAAAATACGTATGGGAACATCTAATAATGAAGAAGCAGTCTTAGAAATTACATTTTTTGCCTGCACAGAGAATGATTTTCTTTTAAAAGACTAAATCTATTTTTGCAATAAAAATTTTCAATCTCAGTGCACGCATCTCAAGTTCGACAAAAAAAAATCCTTTTTTTGATAATTTTTAACAAACGATTTATTTGGCACAAGTAAGGCTTGTTTGAGAACTCTGCTTTTTTTCTCAGTGTAGCTTTATCTTCCTTAAGGAATTTTTCCAGACTTGTCCCGAAAATGAGACCCGACTTATTCAAAACGTACCATTTGGTCAAGAGATGTTGATGATTTAAGAAGTCCATGTTACCTCACCTCCCCCGATTCAATTTGCAATGAAGGGAATAGGAGGAGCCGTGTTTTTATATCAATGATACCATAACGATAATCCAAGTATGGATATTTATTCCTAGAACGAGTGACGCTAGGAGAAAATGTCAGATTTTTTTTTGTAAATCAGACAATTCTCCGCAAAAAAACAGTTGCTTGGAAATTATTTCTAAGTCTAGTTAAATTAAAGACAAAGTGTAAAATTCGATGCGTTCCACTCCTTTACAGAAAACTCGAGGCAAAACTGAATTTATCAGATTCTTCGTCTCTCGGGAATTCAATAAATTGGATAAAATTCACGTTATAGTACTCAAAGTATTTTATTCACAGAATTTGTGTATAAATATGAATCTACGAATTTTTACATGGAAAAAATGAACATATTTGAATGGTTCGTGAATTAAAAAAATAAATGGCAAATATTGGGATGAGAAGAAACACCATCTGCAGCAATCACAAGAGGGTGACATGAGGTTCATTCCTTACTTACTCCGAAACGGACGAATTTATTCTATTGATCTTTACCGTAAATATCGATTTCTCAGGGGAAATCGAAGGATGTAGTTTCATTTTGTGCAACATGATATCCCTGCAATGTTCATTTTCATGGAAATTTTAAAAAAAAGATCGAAATGAGTCCAAGGTCTACGATTATTCAATATAATTAAGTTTCCTCGGCTAATTGTTTTGCATTTTTATTCCATTTGATTCACTCGAAGATTCAGCTCCTCAAATTACACATATTATGCACCCTTCAGTAGTAATTTCATTAAGGTGGGGGGTGGTCATACCACTTTTTTCAAGTAACAGAATTATTTGGTGGATAAATTCGGCAATTTCTTTCAATTTCTTCTTTGCTAGAAAAAAGTGTAGGTATAAACTTTTCATCTTTCAATAAAATTTTTTTATTGAACAAAAAAAATTGAGTGATTTCAAATTCTATACCAATTGATTTTCCGCAAGCTCATGTGGAATACAAAAGAAAATCATTGAAAAATATTGAAATTTGAGGGACTAGTGGGATTTGTATGAGTCGAAAAAACTGAAAATGACGATTTTCCATAGGAAAACGAATAAAAACTTTGGATGCATATTTTCATAATACAATTCAATTATAACGTGAATGAGGAATTCAAAGTCTGCCCCCCCCCCCTCTTCTCATCTTACATCGGTCTATTCCATTTTCCAAAGAGGCTTTAAAGCTTATGAAAACGACCAATTGTGAATATAACTTTCCAAATTTATCGCAATTGGATTATTGGCTGAGCTTTCTGTGATGAAAATATCCATTCAATTTTTGTTCAATTTATGATTGAAAATTAGTATTTTTCAATTTTCCTACAAATTTCAACGAATTTAGAATTAGAACGTATAGAATTTGAAATTATTCAATTCCTTGCGTGAAATAAGAAATGAATATTATTGAAAAATGAAAATTTAATGATGTTACTTGCGTACACTTTTTTACATAAAGAAGAAATTGAAAAAAATTTGCCAAATTTTCCCATCAAATACTTGTGGTACTTGATGAAGCCATGATTCGTGGACTAACTACACCAATTATTAGATCTTCGTAATCTATTACAAAATTGAATTGAGTCACTAAAAAAAAGAAATTTACCTTTACTCACAAAAATATAACTTAGAAATTACTTCAATGTTCCCTCCTGAATCGATAATTTGTAAACGATAATTTCATAAATATACAATAAAGAAAAAGTACTCGAGAATGGCGAAACTTGGACGGAAATTACCATTAGAGTAGAAAATTTCAATTCAATTCTTTTCTAGGGTGAACCGATCATTTTTGAAAAATCAAATTCTTACGCGCTTCATAACTATGTTATACAGGATTTATGAATTTGGATCTTTCAAAATAATCATTCCCCCGAAGAAAAAGAAGGGATTGAGGTTTTCTACACTGATCGTAACTGCCGTCCAAGTTGCACAGCCACCAAATGGTGTGTGTGTGTGTGTGCGTGTGTGTATGTGTATGTGGATACGACATGAAACCAAGTCCGTGTATATATCTGAAAGGGCATTCCTTAAAAATAGTAAACTGGAAGAGAGAAACGAGGTGTTGAGAACGTTTTCTTCTAAAAAAAATCAAATGACAGTTCATTGAAATAAAAATCCGAGGTACCACGTATATACAATATCGACAACACTCCGTCAAAGTTGTTTCTTCACGAATAAAATTTTTGTTTACGAAATCAAAACGAGAGACAGGATGCGAAAAAAAATTATCACTAAGATTGTAATTGATCAGATCGCGTTCACAAGCGCCTCGTTCGTGTTGTTTCTATTATTACGTACTTTTATTTTGCTTCTTCGAGTAAAATAAATGTTTCTCTGGGGGTTCAGAGTATTGACTAAGAATCCCTGCCCAGTGCCTTAGCGCTTAATTTTACTCTATCCTATTTATCAATATAATTATCATGTAACAAGTTCCAGGCAAAGACTCTCGGGTCTCAGTGAGACCCCCATGAAGACTCAATGTATTTTTTTTTTTGCAAAAATCTTGTGCTGATTTCCATTGTTCTCTGTTCGGTGTTTAATCGTTCTGTTGGTATTGAGAATTAGGTGAATCATGCTGGTTTATCCGTGACAAATATCTGTCGATGTTTAGGCCCCTTATTCTGGCTCCTCGCCATCGGCCTCTTGATCCCCCTCGTCATCAACCAGCAAATCATCTTCATCATTGGGGCCCTCATCCTCGTCCTCCAAGTCTGCATCATCCTCCACGACCACTATACTGTCGTCTGCCTCCTCACCCTCACCAACATCGTCTCCCTCTTCTCCACCAACGTCCTCCTCGTCTTCTTCCTCCTCCTCACTGTCTCCGTCCACCTCCTCTCCATCACCCTCGATACCGTTTTCGACGTCCATATCAGGTGCCAGGTAGTACTGAAAATTAATCAGAAAGTTTCCACCTAAACAATTTGAGGGAAGAGTGCAGATATTTCAGCATAAAAACAGATATTTGTGATAGAGCATTTTCTATGGTTCAAAGACGATTTTTTGATATATTCTCGTGAAACAACTAATTTTTTTTAAGGAGCTTATCTTGAGGAATAGATTTAAATTTGAGTTCAAATGATTCGTATTGTTACTTCCTCAATTATCTCCTGAAAAAGGCGTATTTCAACTTTGATAAACATTCAGTTTTAATGTACTTTTTTCAGATTCCATTTTTCTTTTTCTGAATTCATGAGAGTTTCAACTAATTTTACAGAACGTTTCATCATAGCTACAATTCATTACTTTTATATCATTACTAATCTTATATATAAAAGGAGAAGGCATTTTCGGGGGAATTCACCTATCAACGCATAGTCCAAGCTACTGACGCTAAAAATATGAAATTTTGCATGTGGGTTCATTTCGTGACGTAAGCCCCCATTAAGGGCGGATTTAGGGAAATTCAATCCTTTAGGAGTGAAAAGGGTGCATATTTTTTATACGAATTCGTATATGGACTCTACGTTGGACATTAACAAACACGTGTTCTTTATTTTTTTTAATGAAAAGGCTCTTCAAAGGAGGGGGGAGGGATGTGCACCGTAGAAAGTTATCGTAATTTTTAGAACTTTCTCGACAATTTTAGAATTTTCCAAAAAATGATGGAATGTTGATCAGTGATAAAAACTGATTTGCATAATTGAATTTCGGAAATTTCTAAAACTTTCGGGACTAGCTTTCCTCAAATAGTTATTAGATAAATTATTTTCTTTCATTCTTACAAATTTCCCTTCGAAGCTAATCTTCAATATCTTCTGAAACCTCTTTTTTGCTAAAAAAAAAAAGTCAAAGCATATTCATCAGTTTTCTGAAAAAATCTAGAAACTCCCCGAAGGTTCCACAAAATTCAAACAAACTATCGGCCATTCTAGAAAATTCGAAAAAATTCGGGACTTTCCGAAAAATTTAAGAAAATTCTGGGGTCTTCTAGAAAAATGAAAAAAAATTGAAGGTCTTGCATACTGCGACATGCAAAGTAGAAACTTTCGGAAAATTCTAGAATCTTTTAGAGTTTAGAGGGTAATTGGAGAGAAGTCTCAAATTTTCTCGAAAATTCAGAAACTTTGTCAGAAAGTTTGGAAAAATTCGTCACAGATTATCATTTACAAATATGGAAATAAAATGCAGAAGAAGGGAATTGCTCGAACAACGTCGGACCAGCTAGTTAGTACGAAAATTTTGTGATTAGATCCGTGACGAATCACCATATAAATATCTTCCGATCGATAATAATCATTGCAAACGTAACAACAAAAGATAATAATGCAAAAAATCAGGCAAAATTGGCAACAATCAACATAATCAAACTTATGAAAAAAATTGATACACAATCCCACTATTGCATCACACAAGAATCAACTACTGATTGCCACTTCATGGAAAATCGATCACGCACAATAACAAAATAAAATAGGTGAATTGACACTGAATGAAAAAAAAAACGATATAGAACCAATAATAAGGAATATTATGATAGATTGTTCATATGAAGATGAATGTTCTGATAACTTATTGATGTGATCCGTTTTTGTGACGAAATGACCAGTAACATCACAAATCCGTTATAAGGAGAGGTGATACCCTCCCTTCTGATATAAATACACAATAATTACAAATGATTTCATTTATTTTTTACGAGTATGTCACCAACCTGCAGAGGATTTGGCCACATATCATCCTTAATCAATTCAGCAATATCATCAGAGCTTGGATCCCCATGATCCGTGAACCAATCGAAAAACGACCTGTGGCCAAGTGGCCTCTTGCGTCCCTTGAGCTGAGCCTTTCCCTTCGCCCTCTTCGTTAAATCAGCCCCATCCTTCCAGCGTATTGGTGTACTTTGGGAAGCTGGATCCCCTGCAATGATGCAGGAGTTCTTCATGAAGAACATTTACCCAAGAAAAACGCCATTAATTCAAAAATAATCCATCATCAATACCTAATCCCCACTCACCAGATGATCCCAAGTGGAATTCTTTAGTGAGCACCTCGTTCTCGAAATACGGATTCTCATCGAAATAGAAATTGATTCTGTACCCAGACTTGATGTCTTCAAATTCCTCGACCTCAAGTTTGTTCAGATATCGAAGTGCATCCTCCTCGTCCTCTTCGAGTATTTCAGCTATTTTCTTATTATTAACAAACTGTACAATCTGGTTAAGAAAAGTCTGTGAAAGCTCTGAAAATTTTGTAATTTTTGGGGAAATTCCAAAAATAGGTCTAAAAATAGAGAACAATATGAAAAAATGTATTGAACCTAATGGGAAAAAAAATCTGGGGTATCCAGGAAAACAATGCATGTCGTCTATTTTATTTTTGAATGACCAATTCGGGTTAGTGGATTGAAATTTTTATCAATACAAAGATAACTCTCTCAATTGAAAGCACTTAAAAAATACTTGCAATTTCGAGTAAACATCTTCAACACCGACACAGCATTTATCTGCAAAATTACCTGTTAGACAATATGGAGTCCCTCCATTTTTTAAACATTTGATGAGTTGCATCAACACCTTGTAACCCCCATATTCTAATGATACGATATATAAAATTGAATTCTACTAATTTGTGGTAAACTATCACAATTGGACATTGTGCAATCCGGATTCCACATTGGTTAATTTAAAGTTGTAAATTCAACTATATGTAATTGAAGGAAAAACAAAATCCATAAAACTAGAGCACAGATTGGTGGATTTGGTTTTCCTTGAATGCCACGTGCTGAAATTATACCTGTGGAATTTCACACGACAAATTTCATATTTACAAGTAATTTGAATTCAGCAGCGAAGTGGTAAAGCGGTTTAAGTCGACTTATCTTCCCGGTGAGTTTTTGAGGAATATTTTGGAATCTAATGGAGATAGTGAAATTTTCGTAATCACATTTGTTGTAGCTCTCAGTCGGGTCTACAAAAAAAGGTTATAACAAAAATTTCGCTATCTCCCTTAGATTCCGAGATATTCATTGAAAACTGGTCAATAGTCAAAATTGACTTATACCGTTTTACCACTTCGCTACTGAATTATACGATGTAGGATTCACACTGCACAATATACAATTACGTTGGTACACTTAAAACTAGTAGAATTCAATATGTATATCGTGTAATAAAAATGGTGGGAGTAGCATTTTAGTAGACAAGGCCTCAAATGCAAAATATCAAATGCATCAAAAAATGAAGGGACTCAATGTGTGCAACAGGTCATTTTGCCTAGAAAATACAGTGCCGGGTTTAAAATTGACCCTGCCATCAACAACTAAAAAATATACGAAAAATTTAAAAAACAACAAATCGGCGCGACAATGATTGCGTAGAGTATTGCAAAAATCTGTGTATAGTGATACAAGATGGCGGTATTACACCGGTAGACGCCGGTACGGTCGCCAAGTGTCAAATATGAGCCAAAAAATCCACAAAGATGCAACGCCACTCGCTCAAAAACCTCAACAATTAACAAAAGGATACAGCTGTTAGCCAAAAATTGGGTATCCTCTTGATGATGTCGTTCCGCTTCTGGAAATACGGCTTTCGTAGCTTGTTGTATTTTTTCTCCACCTCGAGTATCTCATCGCTAGCCTTCTCATTCAGCCCATCGATTTGATTCTGACAACCATCAATTTCCTCGAGTGTCTTCTGTATTTCAATATCATAATCACGTGTATCATTACCATCTCCCGCACCGTCTTCCAACTTCTTCAGTTTCTTCGTCGGCGAAGACATTTTAATTTCTATTTTATTTGAAATTTTTCACAATACCCTAGTAACAACTGTGGATTACAGTCACCCAGCACTCGCAGTACACACACACGCGCTCAGGTGCCTCGCACTACACTCTCGTCAATGCGGGGCTCTCTCGTGGAATCGCACGAATTTCTGTGGCGCGCAATCCGCTGTTTTCGGCATTAGCTAATTGAGTTGATAAAGAGGGGCAAGTGGATGGGAGATCGAGATAGACCTGTAAAATGACCATCATTTTTAAGATCGTGTTATATGACGGTCAGGTGACGCAATTATCTAATTGCAAATGATGGTCACAAATGATACGTCAGCAAATTATTGTCAAAGAATCTATATATAGATGCATGATGACGGTCACAACTAATTTTTAATTTGTGACGGCCATAAATAAAGAAACATAGTTTTACCTATCTAGATGAAAAATTATCGAAATATTTCCATTTTAAAATACGCATTAGGCTAATATGAAATGAATTTAAATAAAGGCTGACAAAGAAAAAATGAAGCTGCTTCTGTATAGATTAAAAATGACTCATTTTGCTTCCGAAGAGAAGCATTGTAATTGTTAAGGGTATTATGGCGGGTTCCATAGCTGGAAAAAAAAAGCAGAGAATTCAATGAAAATTGCTGAACAGATTATTCGATCCATTTGAAAGCCGTGTGCAAAATGTCAAGACCCCTACTTAAACAATAATAATGGAAATAATTTTTGAAGTTGCTACTTATACACGCGGTTCAATGGGGCATCGGTAATTTTAGTGCTTTTCCTACGTTATTGATCTATTGATAACGTAGGAAATTCACAAAAATTTCCGATGCCCCATTCAACTGCGTGTGTAAGTAGCAACTTCAAAAATTATTCTCATTATTATTGTTTAAGTAGGGGTTTTGACATTTTGCACACAGCTTTCAAATGGATCGAATAATCTGTTCAGCAATTTTCATTGAATTCTGTGCTTTTTTTTTCCAGCTTGGACCTCACCATAATACCCTTATAGCCGGGGGG